AAAGGAGTTACCTCTGCTGCAGAGAATAAGTTTATTAGAGTTAACTGCACCTCACATTGCAGCCCAAATAAATGCTTCACAGAGTTCAAGTCACAGACACATCTCAACATCAACTGTTCAGAGGAGAATGCGTGAATCAGGCCTTCATGGTCGAATTGCTGCAAAGAAACCACTACTAAAGGACACCAATAATAAGAAGAGACTTGCTTGGGCCAAGAAACACGAGCAATGGACATTAGACCAGTGGAAATCTGTCCTTTGGTCTGATGAGTCCAAATTTGAGATTTTGGGGTCCAACCGCCGTGTCTTTGTAAGACGCAGAGTAGGTGAACAGATGATCTCCGCATGTGTGGTTCCCACTGTGAAGCATGGAGGAGGTGTGATGGTGTGGGGGTGCTTTGTTGGTGACACTGTCTGTGATTTATTTAAAATTCACTTAACCAGCATTGCTACCACAGCATTCTGCAGCGATACGCCATCCCTTCTGGTTTGCGCTTAGTGGGACTATCATTTGTTTTTCAACAGGACAATGACTCAAAACACACCTCCAGGCTGTGTAAGGGCTATCTGACCAAGAAGGAGAGTGGTGGAGTGCTGCATCAGATGACCTGGCCTCCACAATCACCCGACCTCAACCCAATTGAGATGGTTTGGGATGAGTTGGACCGCAGAGTGAAGGAAAAGCAGCTAACAAGTGCTCAGCATATGTGGGAACTCATTCAAGACTGTTGGAAAAGCATTCCAGGTGAAGTTGGTTGAGAGAATGCCAAGAGTGTGCAAAGCTGTCATCAAGGCAAAGGATGGCTACTTTGAAGAATCAAAAATATAAAAAAAAAATTTGTTTGTTTAACACTTTTTTGGTTACTACATGATTCCATGTGTTATTTCATAGTTTTGATGTTTTCACTATTATTCTACAATGTAGAAAATATTAAAAATTAAGAAAAACCCTTGAATGATCAGGTGTGTCCAAACGTTTGACTGATACTGTAATTAGACTATAGTATAATTGTCTCTTCATGAAACAAAGTAGTGTGGAATTTTCAGAAAATTATCAAAACAGATTTGGATAAAAAAATAAGCATATTTGTATAAGGTCCATGTATTATTTGTTTCCCATTTTTCCATGTCCAATTTTGACACAATAAATGATAAAACAAGTCAATTTCCGATTTTCCACATCGTCTTTTGAATCAAATAACCAATGAAGGGACGAGTTTCTTGTGTTGCGCATGCATTGCAGAAATGTAATTAGAAATATATTTAGTATTAAGTATTTAGAAATGTAAACAATTGAGTATCAACATTTAGATGATAGCACCTGTCACAAAAAAATATTTTTTTATTTAGATTTTAGACCGTGTACTTGGCGGACATGTTATTTGACGGAGGATGTTTCCTTCAATGCATATTTGAGTGTTGGACATATTTTTTGGAATGTACCACAAAACCAAAGTCAATGCGCAAATCATTAGAGTAATTCATAATAGAATTACACTTTAAGCAACACAAATACATATTGAATCTGATTCAGTTTTTCCAGAGATTTATACACTTGAGGTCAATCTCTATAGTTATTATTATTAGTAGTAATTATTCAGCGAAGTTGGTATGTTCCGTTTCACTTCCTCCTCATGCGACAACAATTCTCACTTCACATGGGGTATTGCTTGCAAGTCCATATTATGGCAAGAACAGCTCAAATAAGCAAAGAGAAATGACAGTCCATCATTACTTTAAGACATGAAGGTCAGTCAATGCGGAAAATGTCAAGAACCTTCTTCAAGTGTAGTCGCAAAAACCTACATGATTCTATATGTGTTATTTCATAGGTTTTCAATGTCTTCAGAAGAAAAACCCTTGAATGAGTAGGTGTGTCCAAACTTTTGACTGGTACTGTATACACATACAGTTCCAGGGTTTCTCATTCCAGGGTTTTTCTTAATTTTTACCCAGCACAAGGTGCACCTGTGTAATGATCATGCTGCTTAATCAGCTCCTTGATATGCCACAACAGTCAGGTAGATGGATTATCTTGGCAAAGGAGAAATGCTCATTAATAGGGATGTAAACACATTTTTACACCAAATTTGAGAGAAATAAGCTTTGTGCGTATGGAAAATGTCTGAGATCTTTTATTTCAGCTCATGAAACATGGGACCAACAATTTACATTTGCGTTTATATTTTTGGTCAGTGTACATGTACAATTCCATAGAGGGGGGGGGGGACACACCCTCCCAAGCTTTTGCACCCCCACTTTCAGACAAAGTTAGGCGCCCATGCACTATCTACCTAGTTAGTAACAAAAGCAAATACTTGTGTTATTTTACGTTAGTCATCTTAGTGATTTTAGCCATACAACTACGTGAGGAACTGCATATATTAGCAGCTAACAAATATTATCTAGCTAGCTAACCAAGTAACCTTAGCTAGCTAATGTTCTCAGATAATAGGGCAGGGGGACCAATAATGATGAGTAACAAAGCTAGCTCGCTCATAGAAATAGAATGAGCTCGATGGATAGGTAGCTTGCGACGCTAGTTCTAGTTTACCTGTCAATGTGAAACACTCTGCTTTGGTCAGGTGAGGAGAGACCCGCAAACAGACAGGAGGAACCCCATTTCGTGATACACAGGAACTGGCTAACGTTACACTACTATGGTATGGCTGAGGATGACTGACACTGTGGCTAGTTGCTAACGTTAGCTTTCTTTTTCTCATCACTAATTGGTCTTAGACCAATCCGATCAGTTCTTATAAAGAGCTGATGTGAATGAGATTGGTCAACATAACAATTAGTGGAGAAAATATCAGAATTGGACTGCCTGTCTAAACGCAGCATTTTATCTCGCTAGCAAGCAATCTCCAACACATGGGGTGATGTGGAGCGCTCAAATGAAATAAAGACACTTACCAGAACCACCTGGACTCTTTGACGATCACCTGAGAGTCATAGTAAGACGAGAGCAGCTGTTTTCAAAAAGAAAAACGTTGTTGCAGAGTAGTATAGCTAGCTGGCTGGCTATCTATATTTTATATCGAATGTAGTCGCCTCACAATTCAATATTGACAGCTCAGTGAAACAACGAACGAGTCTTCGGATTAACTGCCTGAAACTGCCTCACTTACCAAGAGGAAGTGAGGGCGTGAGGCACAGGATATGAGATCACGAGAGAACATACGCGAGGTGAAAAAATGGGTTAGAAACTCTGTGGTCAAATAGCGCACATATTTCTGCCATATATTATCATCAAAATATCTTCATTCACCTCGCTGGGGTCACATTTGTTGTATTTAAACATTACAATCTACATTTTATACATGCGTGTACACTGGCATGCATACCCACAGCGTGGAAGGGTGTTTTCCATTCATGATTCCATCTGACTAGGTGTGTTCCTATTGCATGAAATATTATTTTATTAATAAAATGGATACACTGACAATAGAGCTTAATTGCTTTAACAGGGCAATTTGTTGTATTTTACTATGGATGGCAAAACATAATGAGATCTATTGAAACTAGCGAGAAAATAACAGTCTGTTATAGCATATGATGAGCAAAAACTCATACCGTTTAGACCAGCTTTAATACATCCCACATCTCTCTTCCCTCAGAATGACGTACAATGACATTCTCACCAATCCTAACGAAAAACAATAAAGCCCATTCAGGACTGCTGATTCAGATGTTCTAATCCTTGCTCCCAGTCAGTTGTGCAAACAGAATTCCACCTATTTATATGGACAGGACAGTTTGTTTTCATTTTCTCCAGTCTCAGAAGGGAAAAGAATCAACCTCAGGCCCTGGCCCATCACAGCCCAGAGGCTGGGGAACGCCATCACAGCACTCAGAAGACATCAGAACACACATATCAGAACACAAGGCACTGGCAGTGACTGGGCTTCAGGACCTGCATGTACTCTGTATGTCAAAGGAGCTTGAGACAAATATGGTAGTAAGCCTTTATAGATGTGTAATATAAAAGGAAATGTCATAAGGACACTGACATTAATTGTCACGAGAATTCATGTTGATATAGTCGAGAGGTTTTAAATGAATGCCAAATTCCTACCTTTTATCAGCAATTGCTTGGCTAGCCCTCGTTCTTCTCATAGACCAATGTCTTCAGCAGACATGTCACCAAAGGAAATGTAATGGGGTGGAGAAGAATGTGCTTCACAACTTTGCTTTAATCTATGTATTGTCCTATTATCAGAACCCAGGGAAGTCACTTGAATGCCCATCAGTTAAAACAAGTCTGTGACTCTGGCACCGTACTACCCAGCCGCCAGTTAGAGAAACGGACCAGACAGGCAGGGGAGTGGGAGCTACTGGGAAGGACAGAGGAGCCCATTCCGTCTAGTCTGGCCCTTATCAGGTTTGCTGGGCCTTTTCCAGTTCAGCCCTGATAACCCGGCCTGACTAGCAAAATACAGGAAGTGACCCCTTGACCTTGCGAGGCGGCCAGGGAGTGATACTGTTTTATAAGGGGAGGTCTACGGTGACACATCCCTAATGGGCCTTGTTAGTTAGTGCAGCCCATGCAAAAGCCGGGCTGATAAGTGTGAGTTTGGGTGTCATCCGTTTAATGAGCGGTGCAAACCTATTACAGGCAAGCTGTCTGCGAGGCCTCCTGAGCATCTGAGGAGCGTTGACTGCATCTGTAGTCGACGCACACTGACAAAGAGAATCACAAGGCAGATACACTGCCATACAGTGTGTCTATGAGCCATTTAACGCAGTCATTCAATATTTAATGAAACAACAAACTGCTGGATCAATATCCAAATTGTTATGTAAACTCCACAGGACACTTATGATGGCAAACCAATAACTTATATGACACCCAATGAAAGCATGAGATATGACAATAAAAACACAAAGTTTGATGACATACACATTTTTTGCACTTTTATTACCTTATATAGTCACAATCCATAACACATATCTGACACAATGTGATATAATGAGGAACTATTACCAGGTCATTCACCAGTGTTTGAAATGATCATGCCACTCCAGTCACCCACTCTGCTTGATATGGTCTTCACAGTCTGTCCAATGATGCCACAGATGCAGACACTGTTTGGTTTTGGGCTTGGGTTCTTTGGCCATTCTTGCAGGGGAAACTGATAAACTTTCTCTTGCTCTTTTGGCAGTTTGTTCCACTGTGCATTTGCTTCTTCAAAATCCCACTGGAGAGAAGACCGTTGTTTTGTTATAGGGCAGAGATTCTGTTTATCTATTATGCATATTCACTATGATTGACACATTGTTTATGTCTACCTCTTAATCACATTATTGTGTTCTTGGTCTCTAGGGAAATATTCTACACTGCAATAAAAACATAACAATGTTCATTTGTTCACTGCAGCCTGCAAACTGTGATACTCAATGTTGTCACATGTTCAACCAATGAACTCCTCAGTCCTTGGAGAGCAGTGTACAAAATGTTGAGCCAAGCCCCTGACCAGTAGGCATCACACAGGAGACTGTAAACAGCTCCCAAAATAGCAGAGCCGAGTGATGAATCCCCTATAGGCTAGGCAACCATTTTGCTTGCTTCCGAGTCAGACTGACCCTGCCTTTGTCTTTAATCAAAGATCTTTAACAGCAGAACAATCGGGCCACAATGCAAATCTCGAACAATTCAACCCCTCCGCCTCACCCCAACCCCGCCAGAACAAGCACTCAGCAGAAATGAGCGAGAAACACAATACAAAGAAAATTCCAAACTGCTTTCTTGTGGCTGAGGTTGTTTTTAGAGTACGAAGAAACAGAGCCAGAGTCCTGTGATGAGATTATGCAGCCGACAAATTGCAAAAGGCCTTATTTCCTCATGGGATTTCAATGCAAAAGCAATTAATGATATGCAAAACGACCCAAATTATTTCAGTCAACTTCATCATTTATGCAATTTATTTTAATATCATTCAGTTGTAAAATTAAATCCTTAACCCATTTGTTCTCCAAATAAGATCAAACAACTTTATAGCTCTATGGCCCTGGCCTAGAGTTTAGTATTATATAATAGAAAGCTAGGTAGACAGGCACTGCAATAAAATAATCCAGAATAGCACTTCTCAGACCTAAAGGAACACATTTGGCAGGCTGTCAGCCCATCCCCATTCATGGATGATTTGTCAGTGTTAGTGACTGAAGATTATGCAATATGTGTCGACGGAATTGAACAGGAGTCGTTCCCCCCGCCATATTACTAAGTAACCTAACGTCTGACATTTGTCAGACCTTGGTCAATTCTAACCAGAGGGAAAGAATAACATTTGAGATGTTAAGTAAATGGATGAAAAAGACCTCAAATACTTGCATGCCACTGCTGACAAAATGACAACGACTCAATTCAAAGCCATGTTAACTACAGTATGTTCTGAACCCCTGTTTGGGCCCTACTGCTCTTTGACACACTTAGCCAGGGAAGGTTCACATCATTAGCCTTTTCCTGTTTGGTGAATAGTATAAAGTTCCAATTGTTTTCACTCACACCATTTGCAATTGTTTCAGGTTAAATGACATCCTCCATGACTTTGCTTTCGGTGGAGCCAAAGGGTTTTCAATCACTTTCTGACAGCACCCCTTTCATACATGTTTGCCCGTGGTAGAAGTGATCAGAAAGTGACTTTTTTGACCTGAATGCCAAAACATTCAGGAGATCGAGGTGCTCAAAATTGATTCATTTTGCATACCATTCCATTATACATCCGTCTTCATCACTGAAAAAGAGAAACGGTTGAGTTTGGATATAATTTGAAAGCTTTGTCAAACTAGGGTTATCAAACTATTTTATACATTTCTTGAAAACATTTTATTACCTTTAATGTCAATATCTAAAAACGCATACACTTTTTGTAATGTACACTACTGGTCAAAAGTTTTAGAACACTTACTCATTAAAGGCTTTTTCTTTATTTTTACTATTTTCTACATTGTAGAATAATAGTGAAGACATCAAAACTATTCAATAACACAAGTGTTAACCAAATCAAAATATATTTTATATTTGAGATTCTTCAAATAGCCACCATTTGCCTTGATGACAGCTTTGCACACTCTTGGCATTCTCTCAACCAGCTTCACCTGGAATGCTTTTTCCAACAGTCTTGAAGGAGTTCCCACATATGCTGAGCACTTGTTGGCTGCTTTTCCTTCACTCTGCGGTCCGACTCATCCCAAACCATCTCAATTTGGTTGAAGTCGGGGGATTGTGGAGGCCAGGTCATCTGATGCAGCACTCCATCACTCTCCTTCTTGGTAAAATAGCCATTTACACAGCCTGGAGCTGTGTTGGGTCATTGTCCTGTTGAAAAACAAATGATAGTCCCACTAAACCCAAACCAGATGGGATGGCGTATCGCTGCAGAATGCTGTGGTAGCCATGCTGGTTAAGTGTGCCTTGAATTCTAAATAAATCACAGACAGTGTCACCAGCAAAGCACCCCCACACCATAACACCTCCTCCTCCATGCTTTACGGTGGGAAATACACATGCGGAGATCATCCGTTCACCTACACCGCGTCTCACAAAGACACAGCGATTGGAACCAAAAATCTCAAATTTGGACTCCAGACCAAAGTACACATTTCCACTGGTCTAATGTCCATTGCTCGTGTTTCTTGGCCCAAGCAAGTCTCTTCTTCTTATTGGTGTCCTTTAGTAGTGGTTTCTTTGCAGCATTCGACCATGAAGGCCTGATTCACACAGTCTCCTCTGAACAGTTGATGTTGAGATGTGTCTGTTACTTGAACTCTGTGAAGCATTTATTTGGGCTGCAATTTCTGAGGCTGGTAACTCTAATGAACTTATCCTCTGCAGCAGAGGTAACTCTGGGTCTTCCATTCCTGTGGCGGTCCTCATGAGAGCCAGTTCAATCATAGCGCTTGATGGTTTTTGCGACTGCACTTGAAGAAACTTTCAAAGTTCTTGAAATGTTCCGTATTGACTAACCTTCATGTCTTAAAGTAATGATGGACTGTCGTTTCTCTTAACAGAACAAAAATTTGGAAAAAGTCACGGGATGTTAATACAATATCTGAGTAATAATGACTAATAAAGTCAATGGGGGCCCCCTGGAGGTCAGGGCCCCTGGGCACGTGCCCTTCGTGCTCGGTCGTTATCCGGCCATGATTACTACAAGTTTAGATAGCTTGCTAGACTAACTATCAATCTATCAATTGTTAGCTGACATGGGTAATTGAGTGACTATCAATGACTGATATAAGAGAAAAACTGCTAATGCACAACCAAATCCTGAAATTGCACCTGTTGTATCCTACTATTTTTACTCTCAATAGTAAGTTGAGACCCCGACTGAGTTTGGGGCTGGGTGCCCTACGCTACCGGTTATGTCGCTTCTGCCTGGAACCAGCCCTGTAAACACCTCAGATAAATTAGGGTCTAAGCTACAATGTGAAAATGTGACAAATCTGAGTTTAGATAAACGGTTGAGTTTGATATAAAAAACTATGTATTTTTTCTTTTCTTTTAACGTCAGTTATATTTTTCAGTGACGAAGACATGGATGTCTAATGGTAGGTATGCAAAATGGGTCAACTTTGAGCACCTCTGTCTCCTGAATGTTTTGGCATTCAGGTCCAAAAAGTCGCTTTTTGACCACTTCTACCATGGGCAAACATGTATGGAAGGTTTTGTTCAAATCAAAAGGGGTGCAGTCAGAAAGTGATAGAATTCATATGAAACGACCCTTGAGTGGACTTTCACTGCACCATAATAGTGAGTTCACATGGGAAGGCCTGAGCATAAAGAAGTAACGTTAAATAAACATACTAAGTTACCAAGCAAAGCACTTCAGAAGACCTTGCGGGTAAAGGTCTTGATTTTTACTTGGTAATGGGCAGGGCCTACAATGTGTTAAGACTGAAAATAATAGGCTTCCCTGATGCGTAGATGAATCCAAAGCAACAAGTGTTCAACCATTCTTCACATACTATCACCATCTTGTGGCAGAAAATGGTTTAACAGTTCACATCTCTTTACCATCTCATACTAAACGTCACTATTAAACTCAGAAGAACTTAACCATATTGGGCAAAATGTTGCTGTAGAAGATGATTTTACACGATAGTAAGGTTGTTGATAAAGGATGTGAGGAAGATGTAAGGATCCGTTGGGATCTGACCTCCAGATCAGAGTTGAGGGATGACGAGTCGGAGAACGTTTCTGAGGTGCAGGGTTCGTCCACTCTCACCCCCCTCATGGTCCTCCTGAGGGGATGGCTCTCTGACACACCTGCTTCCCTGGACAGAGTCACCTCCTTCAGACACACCTGAAATGTTCTAAAGACGTCTTTACCCTCACATTTCGTACTGGTTGAATGTTGACATCCATGTAATATCGCATATCAGCCATCTTGTTGAGATTTTTTTTATTGGAGGGAACACGGAGAGGAGAGCCATCCAAGCCCAACTCACATGAGGAAAGAGAGCTGTGTTTAAAGATGATTATCAAATACTGTATGAGGCAAAGCCAGAACAGGAATGAAAGAGCAACTTAAAGGGGAGTTCTCAAACATCTGCCATTGAGTCTTTTATTCTCTAGCTTAAAGAACTTTATTTGCTCTTTCATTCCAATACTTTCTATAAAAGCACATATACAACACTGTCAGGCATTGAGTCCATCTCCTTAACCTAGGCATGTGTAGACAGGACTCAAGGCTTACTGGCTGTTTTTCTTAGTCTTCCCTCTGGGGTTATGCTGAGTGGGGGAGAGAAGCCCCCTAGGAGACTGTGTCTGGAGAACCCCTTCCAGGCTGCTGCTGAGTGGTACCCTTCCTGCACCAGGACAGGAACACAACCTGACCACAGAGTCAAGACAGAAATGACAACATGGTTGGGGTTCAATTCAATTAGAAGTTCTATTCACATATTCATTAATCTCGCCCACCAGCCAGCTCTCTCGAGCCTGGAAACGAGGTTACATATTCATAAGCTGGAGAAGGATACAGCAAGATCCAGGGCTGCACAGCACGTTGATGCCAGTAGCCAAGGCATGGCTCTCAGTACAAACTCATACTGGGTGTCGTGGAGCAATATGGCCGAGGAGTATAGGGCACTGGCCAGAGAGCACTGCACCCCTGAGAACACTTGCCCTTGAACTCATCTCCCCTCTGCGCTAAAAGATCAATGAAGAGGTTAAAGTGCTGAGAGCATTATGTAGTGTTGCAGTGAGCATTATGTCATGTTGTGTTGCAGGTTTTCACTACATAACACTTGACTTTGAGGGCCTGTTGTGACAATACATCCAAGTATGGCAACTCAGACATGAACTATGATGGGATGTCACTTACTGCTCTGGAGAAGGCACGGAACTTGGAGGTCCAGGCAATCACAAAAAAGAGCAAACCAAGAACATAACCCAGGACCTCAGTGCTGTCCTACCCCCCTCTGTTGCAACACAGAACATATAGGGAAGAGGATGGAGATTAAATGAACAACTTCCACAGCTGCCATAAAACTATTAATGGATGGATGTAGCAGGTAATCATAACCTTATATAGTATAGGCCCATACATGTTCTGGAAATACACTGAACAAAAATATAATCGCAACGGTCCCATGTTTCAAGAGCTGAAATAAAAGATCCCCAAAATGTTCCATACACACAAAAAGCGTATTTCTATAAAATGTTGGGCGCAAATTTGTTTACATCCCTGTTAGTGAGCATTTCTCCTTCGCCAAGATAATTAATCCACCTGACAGGTGTGGCATATGAAGAAGCATGATCATTACACAGGTGCACCTTGTACTGGGGACAATAAAAGGCCATTCTAAAATGTGCAGTTGTCACACAACACCACAGATGTCTCATGTTTTGAGGGAGTGTGCAATTGGCATACTGACTGCAAGAATGTCCACCAGAGCTGTTGCCAGAGAATTGAATGTTCATTTCTCTAAGCCACCTCCAACATCGTTTTAGATAATTTGGTAGTACGTCCAACCTGCCTCACAACCGCAGACCACGTGTATGGCATCGTGTGGGCGAGTGGTTTGCTGATGTCAACGTTATGAACAGAGTGCCCCATGGTGGCGGTGGGGTTATGGTATGGGCAGGCATAAGCTACGGTCAACAAACACAATTGCATCTTATCTATGGCAATTTGAATGCACAGAGATATTGTGACAAGATCTTGAGGCCCATTGTCGTGCCATTCATCCGCCGGCATCACCTCATGTTTCAGCATGATAATGTACGGCCCCATGTCGCAAGGATCTGTACACAATTCCTGGAAGCTGAAAATGTCCCAGTTCTTCCATGGCCTGCATACTCACCAGACATGACACACCTTGAGCACATTTGGAATTCTCTGAACTGACGTGTACGACAGCGTGTTCCAGTTCCCGCCAATATCCAGCAACTTCGCACAGCCATTGAAGAGGAGTGGGACAACATTCCACAGGCCACAATCAACAGCCTGATCAACTCTAAGCGAAGGAGATGTGTCATGCTGCATGAGGCAAATGGTGGTCACACCAGATACTGACTGGTTTTCTGATCCACGCCACTACCTTTTTTCTAAGGCATCTGTGACCAGCAGATGCATATCTGTATTCCCAGTCATGTGAAATACATAGATTAGGACCTAATGAATTTATTTCAATTGACTGATTTCCTTATATGAACTATAACTCAGTAAAATATTTGCGTTTATATTTTTGTACAGCATAAATTGTCTTGTCAACTGAAGAGCCAGCTGATTGGAGAGAAACACCCCGACAGTGCTACATAAATGGCCAAGGAAACAGAGGGCACAGGCTGCCTCCTCGCCTGAATTCCTGCCCCGCACTCTGCATCTCTGACATACCAGCCTAGAACAAGCGTTGCAGATAAAAGTTAAGTAAAACAACTACAAGTAGCCTAAACATGACAGTGCTTGACTTGGGAGTTGAATCACTGGAGCTGCTTGAGCTCCTGCACCTCTTATTGAATATTAGTTCAAAATATTGTGGAGCTCCTGCACCTACAGTGGCTTGTGAAAGTATTCACCCCCCTTGGCCTTTTTCCTTTTTTGTTGCCTTACACCCTGGAATTAAAATTGTTTTTTTGGGGGGGGTTTGTATCATTTGATTTACACAACATGCCTACCACTTTGAAGATGCAAAATATTTTTTAGTGTGAAACAAACAAGAAATAAGACAAAAAAACAGAAAACTTGAGCGTGCATAACTATTCACCTCCCCAAAATCAATACTTTGTAGAGCCACCTTTTGCAGCAATTACAGCTGCAAGTCTCTTGTGGTATGTCTCTATAAGCTTGGCACATCTAGTCACTGGGATTTTTGCCCATTCTTCAAGGCAAAACTGTTCCAGCTCCTTCAAGTTGGATGGGTACCGCTGATGTACAGCAATCTTTAAGTCATACCACAGATTCTCACTTGGATTGAGGTCTGGGCTTTGACTAGGCCATTCCAAGACATTTACATGTTTCCCTTTAAACCACTCAAGTGTTGCTTTAGCAGTATGCTTAGGGTCATTGTCCTACTGGAAGGTGAACCTCCGTCCCAGTCTCAAATCTCTGGAAGACTGAAACAGATATCCCTCAATAATTTCCCTGTATTTAGCGCCATCCATCATTCCTTCAATTCTGACCAGTTTCCCAGTCCCTGCCGATGAAAAACATCCCCACAGCATGATGCTGCCACCACCATGCTTCACTGTGGGGATGGTGTTCTCAGGGTACATTCTTCCATATGTTTGGGGAGTCTCCCACATGCCTTTTGGCGAACACCAAACGTGTTTGCTTATTTTTTTCTTTAAGCAATGGCTTTTTTCTGGCCACTCTTCCGTAAAGCCCAGCTCTGTGGAGTGTACGGCTTAAAGTGGTCCTATGGACAGATACTCCAATCTCCGCTGTGGAGCTTTGCAGCTCCTTCAGGGTTATCTTTGGTCTCTTTGTTGCCTCTCTGATTAATGCCCTCCTTGCCTGGTCTGTGAGTTTTGGTGGGCGGCCCTCTCTTGGCAGGTTTGTTGTGGTGCCATATTCTTTCCATTTTTTAATAATGGATTTAATGTCCTCTGTGGGATGTTCAAAGTTTCAGATATTTTTTTATAACCCAACTATGATCTGTACCTCTCCACAACTTTGTCCCTGACCTGTTTGGAGAGCTCCTTGGTCTTCATGGTGCCGCTTGCTTGGTGGTGCCCCTTGCCTAGTGGTGTTGCAGACTCTGGGGCCTTTCAGAACAGGTGTATATATACTGAGATCATGTGACAGATCATGTGACACTTAGATTGCACACAGGTGGACTTTATTTAACTAATTATGTGACTTCTGAAGGTAATTGGTTGCACCAGATCTTATTTAGGGGCTTCATAGCAAAGGGGGTGAATACATATGCACGCACCACTTTCCCGTTATTTCTTTTTTAGAATTTTTCAAAACAAGTTGTTTTTTTCATTTCACTTCACCAATTTGGACTATTTTGTGTATGTACATTACATAAAATGCAATTACTCCATGTTTAAATGCGTAATTACCCACAGGCCTACTCACATAAAACATGCTATTATCAAAAGCACCGCCAAACAGCTGAGTCAGGTCGGGATGCAAACTTTGTCGGTTTGAAAAACAGGTTGATATGTCAGGTGCCACCAAGACTTCAAACCAAAGGCTTTCTGCTCTGTCCATTTGTGACACTGTGTATCCTCTCCCATATCGCTAAACTGTGGCAACATTGTCCTAAAAAATATTTGGAATGGCAATTGGCAAATACGTGGAGCCCAGCACAGGTATGTACAATTGTATGTGCTATCCGGGATCCTTGGGACGTCCCTACCCTAAACCCTTGGCTAACCATTTAAAATTTGACCTTAAATGGGGGTAAAGACATCCCAAGAATCACGGATAGCACGGACCTATGTAAAAGGTGTGGGCAATTGTGCCCTGATGGCATGCAAATTTACTTCACAAAAGCGCTGCCTGGTTATTCAAATTTAAACATATTTCCATGTAGATTAGAATGAGATTGACATGATGATGCCCTTACTCAATTCTTAATTTATTTGACCAAATTTGAGTTATAAATACACTCGAGCTGATCCAATTTAATTTTCATTAATATGAGTCACATTTTTAAAATAATTTATTAGGTCAATTTTATGTACCTTTCTTTGGACATCATGTGCAACAAAGCAAATCAATTGCAAACCAAAGAACACCTTTCCTAATTTCTGCTGTAGCCCTACACTGAAAGATGAAAGGAATTTCTCAGAGAGAAAATGTAGGTCAGCTTCAAGTAGGCCTACCTCATTGAGGCCTCTGTTGTGGCAGTTTGAGGGTACATTGGGCACATATTAAGGGCAAATATTAGAAACACTCACGAGAGAGCCAAAAACACCACAAAGTAACATTTGAAAACCATCTGAAAGATAATTATTTAATCAGGGATATTACACAATTGTTATTGCATCAGACATTTATCGCAGAGTAGCAGTTGGTTCTAAATCTTAGGGAATCCAACTACTGCCAAAATAATGGAAACACTTGAGTAAATGAGGGACAAAGTATATTGGAAGCAGGTGCTTCCACACAGGTGTGGTTCCTGAGTTAATTAAGCAATTAACATCCCATCATGCTTAGGGTAAAGTATACAAACGTTGGGCAGGCTATTATTTTGGCTACCCCATAGGATGACAATGCCCCCATCCACAGGACTTGAGTGGTCACTGAATGGTTTGATGAGCATGAAAATGATGTAAACCATATCGCAAGGCCGTCCCAGTCACCAGATCTCAACCCAATTTAACACTTATGGGAGATTCTGGCATTGCATCCTTTCAATAGAGTTCCAGACACTTGAAGCTGTTCTGGCTCGTGGTGGCCCAATGCCCTATGTTGGTGTTTCCTTTATTTAGGCAGTTATCTGTAGTTCATTATCTATGTAAAGTACAATAGTTTGCACCTTCCTGTATATGTAACAAACACATAACCAAATAAATCTTGACTGATTGATCTCCTTAGCAATACATTTTATCTGGAGTAAGGCTCAATTCCATTCAATTCCTAAGTTGCTAAAATTCCAGGAATTGAGTTGACCCCAATTCTGCTCTGGTAGCTACACTCATAACTTCTGTAAGATTTGTTGCACAACTCAATCATAATCAAATAGTGGAATGTATCATCAATGCAATGCATGATAAGTTAATTCACAACCTATCCCTGGTTCTCCATATTGCAAAAGGCAATGGAGGTTACTGTTGTTGACCAGTATCTACATACAACAAACACCAATTCCTGTGGAATTGCATTGGAAAGTCCTTTGGGGGTTAACACTCCATTCCACTCCAAACTATCAGCGATTTCTAACAGTTTATAGATGTTCTTCAAGCATCCAAGTGCTTGGTGAGTCGGCGTACTTTCTCTTTCTTGTTCCTGTTGCCATGCTTCTTCCAGGGTTTGACCACAGGCTGTTCCGTGCCAGGTTGCCCCTGACCTACCTGTTCACGCTGGCCTATGCTGCCTAGCTTGTAGCCCATGTAAGACTGGACCCCCTTGGTGAGTGCTCGAACATTCTCCTGGAACAAAATGCACAACAATGTGGCATGAGTTTGGTGTCAATCTCTGCCAGTGGCATATTAATGTAATTTCTGTGGAGTTGCCTTCTATTGTACCTGATGGAAGAAGTTCTTGTCCACCAGATTCTCATGTCTCTTGACTTTGCTCTGTTTGTTGCCTGTCTTGGAGTATTCACCGTCTGCATCTCCGGACTGGAACTTGCTGTGCTGGGGCTGGAAGTCTACAGCACTGATGTGGGGAGGAGGGTGGCAGTACAGCAGTTTCCCCTGGGGATGGTCAGAAAGAACCAGTTAGTGGTGCTTCCTCTCCCATTACTACTACTGAATTTATACTGAACAAAAATATAAACGCAACAATTTCAAAGATTTTGATGAGTAAGTTCATATAAGGAAATCAGTCAATTGAAATAACTTCATTAGGCCCAATCTATGAATTTCACATGACTCAGCAGGGGCACAGCCACTTGGGAGTCAGGCCCCACCCCCCGACGATCCCACATGTGAAGAAGCTGGATGTGGAGGTCCTTGGCTGGCATGTTTACACGTGGTCTGCGGTTGTGAGGCGGGTTGGACGTACTGCCAAATTCTCTAAAATGACGTTGGAGGCAGCTTATGGTAGAGAAATTAACATTAAATTCTCTGGCAACAGCTCTGGTGGACATTCCTTCTGTTAGCATGCCAATTGCACTCCCTCAAAACTTGAGACATCTGTGGCATTGTGTTGTGTGACAAAACTGCACATTTTAGAGTGGGCTTTTATTGTCCCGAGCACAAGGTACACCTTTGTAATGATCATGCTGTTTAATCAGCTTCTCGATATGACACACCTGTCAGGTGGATGGATTATCTTGACAAAGGATAAAATGCTCACTAACAGGGATGTAAACAAATGTGTGCACAACATTTGAGAGAAATAAGCTTTTTGTGCATTTAGAACTTTTCTGGGATCTTTTATTTCAGCTCATGAAACATGGGACCAGCACTTTACATGTTGCATTATATATTTTTGTTCAGTGTAGGTCTACAGACTAAACAATTTGACTATTCTGCCTAATTAACCACCATTTTACATCAAGAGAATGCATTTGATGGCGGAAGGAGGAGGGTTAACTTACAACGACGTAGTCCTTGAGGATGTAGCGGGCTGATCTCGACTGGTCAGGCTGTCCGTGTGTTGTCATGAAGCCCCTCATGTCTGAAAGAGAGCAGGACAGTGTCAACGGCTTGCTCTGACTCCATCACTATCATATGGCTTCTGTTGTGCTGTGTCTGTTGTTCTACACTGTAGTGTACTATATAAGGACAGGGTTTATGGTCTCACATCCGTAGGCCATCAGTAGCTCCTCATAGTTGGGTATGCGGTCGGGGTCCTCGTCCTCTCGCGGGCGGATGATGTTGATGCCATAGGTGCCCTCTAGCACATCTCGAGGAATAGTCTGACACACGTGAGCAGTCTGTTAAGGCCTTAACCACACTAAACACCCAATCAAACTTCTGAAAAATCCTTTACCCGAGTGAAACGATTAGGCCTCTGAATTTAGCTGTATTTTTGTAATGTGAAATGATAATAGTATGCAGCTCCACTTCGGTCCAACTGAAAAAAAGAGATATAGCTGTGAATTAAAAAGTATTTTAGAAAAACAAATCTCCAGTATTATCTACTGATAGGGACAATAAATATGACTCTTCTACACCCATAAGTTAACAGACAAGCAGTTTGCAGGGTTGGTAAGTGAAGGATATGAGGGAGATGGCAGGCACATGGTCTCTTATCTGGTCGATGGGCAGGATCCCACAGCAGATCATCTCAGCTTTAGTGGCCACAAAGGAGGGCATGACCAGGCCGGGGCAGTCACACAGACACAGACCTGGCTCCACGTACAGCGTCTAGAACACACAATCAATCAAATGTATTTATAAAGCCCTTTTTACATCAGCAGATGTCACAAAGTGCTATGCAGAAACCCAGCCTAAAACCCCAAACAGCAAGCAATGCAGATGTAGAAGCACGGTGGCTAGGAAAAACTCCCTAGACAGGCAGAAACCTAGGAAGAAACCTAGAGAGGAACCATAATATAATATAATATAATAATATAATATGCCATTTGGCAGACGCTTTTATCCAAAGCGACTTACAGTCATGCGTGCATAATTTTTTTTGTGTATGGGTGGTCCCGGGGATCGAACCCACTACCTTGGCGTTACAAGCGCCGTGCTCTACCAGCTGAGCTACAGAGCACCACAGGAACCATGCTTTGAGGGGTGGCCAGTCCCCTTCTGGCTGTGCCGGGTGGAGATTATAACAGTACATGGCCATTAAGGCCAGATGTTCAAACGTTCATAGATGACCAGCAGGGTCAAATAATAATCACAGTGGTTGTAGAGGTTGCAACAGGTCAGTACATCAGGAGTACATACACATTTGAATGCTTTATTATTGTAACAAAGGCATACATTTTTAGAGGTCAAGCAGGCTAGATCAGAGAGCAGTTCTTTACCTGAAAGTGCTTGGTGTGCCCAGGCGTGACTGAGACGGACACCTTCTTATTTCTCAGAATGGTGTTGATGGTGGAACTTTTTCCCACATTGGGATACCCCACCTGTTTAGAGAGCAGATTGGAGTGATCTCAATTCTCCTAACACAAGACCTGTTCTCCTACTTCGTAAATGATTCCTGTAGTAATATAAAGAGTATTATAAACTGGGTGGTTCGAGCACTGAATGCTGATTGGCTGAAAACCGTGGTATATCAGTATATCACGGGTATGACAAAACATTTATTTTTAATGTTCTAATTACGTTGGCAACCAGTTTATAATAGCAATAAGGCACCTCGGGGGTTTGTGGTATATGGCCAATATACCACGCCTAAGGGCTGTATCCAGGCACTCCACGTTGCGTTGTGCGTAACAGCTCTTAGCCGTAATATATTGGCCATATACCACACCCCCTCGTGCCTTATTGCTTAAACATAACCTAGTATTGAAGCCTATTGATGTCCAGTGTGTGTGTACTCACCAGCCCCACTGTGAGCTCGCCCTCTTTCAACGTTGGCCCATCATGAGCAGCCTTAAATATGGCCAGCAGCTCGTCTTTGGTCAGCAGGCGACTGGAGTTGTGGAAGGAGGAGGAGCCGTGGGTGGAGCCGTCTATACTGTCTTCGTCATCTGCTTCCTCACCCTCTGATGCCTCTGAGCAGGTCTGCCAGTCTCCCTCTGCTACACAGTCTTTAAACTGCTCCCCTCTCTGCTGCTTCTCATCCATATCACTCTCCTCATCTTCTTCCTCGTCCTCCTCGCTCTCTTTCTCATCCTTGTTATCCTCTACATCCTGTCTTCGGCTCACATTGTCGTTGTCTGGCATTCCCTCGTCTTCATTTTCTGCGTCGCTCTTTTCATCCTCCTGCTCTTCCACTTCCATTCCCTTTGGAGAATGAACAAGGGAAGATATCACTGAGGTCTGAAGAGGAGAAGCCTGACAACTCATTTTTCATCAGTCAAAAAAGTATACCAGGCATAAGTTAAACAATGATGAGCACAGCGTACAGTCTGGTTTAACCAGGCCATCTAAGACCAGCCCTTCCAATTAAAATGTGAATGACTCCTCACCTTCTCCTCTGCCTCCAGCCTCTCATTCTCCACCAGTGCAGACCAGAACACAGCGCGGAGGCCCTCTCTCTGGAAATATCTGGCCCAGATCCTCCGCTGCTCCCGGGTCAGCAGGTCAGCTTTGTTCACCAGCAGCAAGTTCACCTTGTCCCGGGACACCTCCTTGACATAGCACTCCTACAGGAACCATGAAGATCAATGGGTGAAATGCTGCAGTGTTTCCCCGACTATCAGTTTGGTGGGGCGGATTCCCCCACCTGGCAATGCCATCCCCCATCCATGAAAAATTGGCCTCAATTGTTTGACAGCCTTTGGCCAGACTGATCCGTGGAGAACGGACACCAAATTAGAACAGTGGATCAAATCAACGGGCTAGTTTGGCTGCGCCCTTAGGCACTTTACTTACCAGGTCAGGGCAACGAAACAGCAAAGGGTTTCTGGCATCAACGATCTGAACAACGATGTCACTGCATAGGAAAATTCACATTTCCACCATCATACAAGGCACTGAACAGCTGACACAGGACACAATCAGTCATGAGACACAGCAGCTCTGAATCCTACCTCCTCTCAATCACTCTCCAGAGCTGTCTCCAGAAATCCAAATTCCTCTCAAAAGGGGTGAGAAACATTTTCTGCTCCTCTTCAAGTCTATGAAACAAAATAGATCAACTTTAGGGCACTGCTGAAAGAAAACAGTGTTACTAAAGGCACACAATCTATAACATCAAAACAATGAGATCCTATTCAATTGATGGGGGGGTAAGTGTTGTGATTGTAGTGGGTTTCATACAGTGCCAGTTCTCGTCTCCACTCCAAGAAGCTGTCTCTCTCTGTCTGCTGGAGGACCTCTGGACTGGTGCTCTCATCCCAGTGAGGCCTGCAACATGACAAGACAAAGAAGATACAGTAATGGAACATCAGAGGCAATGCAATATCAGCACAATCCCTACTACTAAGACAACTAGAAAGAGGACATGAAATAACATTTGGAAGTAATGTCACTGTGTTTACTGCACGGTTAGTGCTATCGGTAATCCTTGGGACGTCCCTACCCTAAACCCTAATCTTAACCCTTTCCTAAACCTAACCATTTAAAATGTCAACTTTAATAGGATAACGTCAGAATTGGGACTTCCCATGGATCCCAGGTAGCAAGGACCCTTACTGCACCTTCGTGGAATTCTGAGGAGTTGTTTGTTCTCTTCGTGCAGCTTCTTCAGCTTTGCTGTCTCCTCGGCTGTCAGTAATCCTGCCCGAGCTTCAGCTGGCACGAACTTGATGTTGAGCTTTTCTGGGGAAACATTTCATCCATCAGTTGCATCCTGGCAATCCAGTCCAAAGAGGCAAGTTCTGGGGTGTATTCATTAGTCGGATTCCATTGCAAAACATTTGGTCTGTTACAAAAACTCTAAGAACCAAAACAGAAGTAAATGGAACGAAACGGGGAGCGACCTACCTGAATTTGTCCAATAGAAACTATTTTCGTTGCAAAATGTTTTCCTTTTGGAGTAAATAGTTTTCTGTTGCAAACGTTTTGCAACAGACAAAATATTTTGCAACGGAATCCGACTAATGAATACACCCCTGGGGAAACAGTTTCTAGTTTATATTGGACAAATTCAGGTAGTTCCCTCTCAGTTACGTTAGCTTCCGTTTAAAGAAACGTACTGCAAAATAATTGGCGGAATGAATACACCCCTGGTAGAGGACAGTTTCAAGGATCACTTGTCAGGTCAATGCAATGGAGTATTTACCTGCAACAAACTCAGTCCCAGCCATTTCTGCAGTTGCAAGGAAGTCATCCATAGAGCTCTGTTCAGTCACTGACTGCAGGTTGAGACGACCCCAATCGTAGCCATCGTTCAGTTCACTGGTGTGGAGCTGGCAATGTGATATCACGTTTAATCATCAGCAAGTTGTATTGCTAGCTACTGTAGTTAGCTAGCTAACAAGACAGACGACCATTAAAACAAAACGTGTTACTTTATTTACAGGAGAGCAGTATTCACCAAATCCTGCTTTTTCTCAAATGTTTTACTTTACTCTGCTAACTAACTAGCTAGAAGTCAGAACAGGCTAGAACCCTTAGTTGGAGGTAGGCCTAGCTATAGGTTAAGCGAACTAACTTGCTGATGCCATTATCAACATAACAGTTAGCTAACGTAGCGTCCCGTGTAGCTCAGTTGGTAGAGCATGGCGCTTGCATCGCCAGGGTTGTGGGTTCGATTCCCACGGGGGGCCAGTATGAAAATAAAAAATGTATGCACTCACTGTAAGTCGCTCTGGATAAGAGCGTCTGCTAAAAGGTAAAATGTAAAACGTAATTAACGTTACCCAAGTATCGCCCCTCTTGTTGCCTCGGCCTGCGTTGAGTCTCTCCTTTATCAACGATCTCCCGAGCCCCATGGCAGACTTCTTCTTACCCATTTTGGGTAGTCCTTACTTGTTACCACAAATTACTTTTTGTCAATTTTATTAGTTCACGTTGGTATTTCACGTTAAACAGCTCAGCAAGCAATACCCCATGTGAAGTGACAATTGTTGTCGCATGAGGAGGAAGTGAAACGGAACATACCAGCTTCGCTGAATAATTACTAATAATAATAATAACTATAGAGATTGACCTCAAGTGTATACATCTCTGGAAGTAACTGAATCAGATTCAATATGTATTTTTGTTGCTTAAATTGTAATTTTATTATGAATTACTATAATGATTTGCGCATTGACTTTGGTTTTGTGGTACATTCCAAAAGATATGTCCAACACTCAAATATGCATTGAAGGAAACATCCTCCGTCAAATAACATGTCCGCCAAGGACACGGTCTAAAATCTAAATAAAACAAAAAAAATGTGTGACAAGTGCTATCATCTAAATGTTGATACTCAATTGTTTACATTTCTAAATACTTAATACTAAATATATTTCTAATTACATTTCTGCAATGCATGCGTAACACAAGAAACTCGTCCCTTCATTGGTTATTTGATTCAAAAAACGATGTGGAAAATCGGAAATTGACTTGTTTTCTCATTTATTGTGTCAAAATTGGACATGGAAAAACGGGAAACAAATAATACATGGACCTTATACAAATATGCTTATTTTTTTCTCCAAATCTGTTTTGATAATTTTCTAAAAATTCCACACTACTTTGTTTCATGAAGAGAAAATTATACTATAGTCTAATTACAGTATCAGTCAAACGTTTGGACACACCTACTCATTCAAGGGTTTTTCTTTATTTTTAATATTTTCTACATTGTAGAATAATAGTGAAAACACAAACTATGAAATAACACATATGGAATCATGTAGTAACCAAAAAAGTGTTAAACAAATAAAAATATATTTTATATTTTTGATTCTTCAAAGTAGCCACCCTTTGCCTTGATGACAGCTTTGCACACTCTTGGCATTCTCTCAACCAACTTCACCTGGAATGCTTTTCCAACAGTCTTGAATGAGTTCCCACATATGCTGAGCACTTGTTAGCTGCTTTTCCTTCACTCTGCGGTCCAACTCATCCCAAACCATCTCAATTGGGTTGAGGTCGGGTGATTGTGGAGGCCAGGTCATCTGATGCAGCACTCCACCACTCTCCTTCTTGGTCAGATAGCCCTTACACAGCCTGGAGGTGTGTTTTGAGTCATTGTCCTGTTGAAAAACAAATGATAGTCCCACTAAGCGCAAACCAGAAGGGATGGCGTATCGCTGCAGAATGCTGTGGTAGCAATGCTGGTTAAGTGAATTCTAAATAAATCACAGACAGTGTCACCAGCAAAGCACCCCCACACCATCACACCTCCTCCATGCTTCACGGTGGGAACTACACATGCAGAGATCATCTGTTCACCTACTCTGCGTCTTACAAAGACACGGCGGTTGGACCCCAAAATCTCAAAAAGGACAGATTTCCACTGGTCTAATGTCCATTGCTCGTGTTTCTTGGCCCAAGCAAGTCTCTTCTTATTATTGGTGTCCTTTAGTAGTGGTTTCTTTGCAGCAATTCGACCATGAAGGCCTGATTCACGCATTCTCCTCTGAACAGTTGATGTTGAGATGTGTCTGTGACTTGAACTCTGTGAAGCATTTATTTGGGCTGCAATGTGAGGTGCAGGTAACTCTAATAAACTTATCCTCTGCAGCAGAGGTAACTCCTTTCCTGTGGCGGTCCTCATGAGAGACAGTTTCATCATAGCGCTTGATGGTTTTTGCGACTGCACTTGAAGAAACTTTCAAAGTTCTTGACATTTTCTGTATTAACTGACCTTCATGTCTTAAAGTAATGATGGACTGTCGTTTCTCTTTGCTTATTTGAGCTGTTCTTGCCATAATATGGACTTGGTCTTTTACCAAATAGGGCTATCTTCTGTATACCACCCCTACCTTGTCACAACACAACTGATTGGCTCAAACACATTAAGAAGGAAAGAAATTCCACAAATAAACTTTTAAGAAGGCACAGCTGTTAATTGAAATGCATTCCAGGTGACTACCTCATGAAGCTGGTTGAGAGAAAGCCAAGAGTGTGCAAAGCTGTCATCAAGACAAAGGGTGGCTATTTGAAGAATCTCAAATATAAATACAATGTAGAAAATAGTAAAAATAAAGAAAAACCCTTGAATGAGTAGGTGTGTCCAAACTTTTGACTGGTACTGTATATGCATAGCCTTATTATTATTATTATTATTATTATTATTATTATTATTATTATTATTATTATTAATATTATAATAAAACATATGCATATTATTAATGTTATTATTGGATTTACAGTTTTTTGTATTGCTAACAAGCATTTTTCAATACTGCGGATACATGTGCAAAACTCTAAATACAGTTATCAAAACAACATCCAACTTGGCAATGCACATCCTACATACATCAAAAGCAAATCTTTCTACCAAATGAAAGCTAATAGTCTCTCACGACATGCACACTTTGTCATTCATTTGTCATTCATGACCTACAAAACTCTAAAAACAGCTACCACTTGAAAATGTGTCAATTTGTCTTTAATATCACATTTTCTTTAGATGAACCAACAGTCATTTTTACAAAAGAAGAGTGGCAAACTGTACTGTATAGAATGTCCTGCAAGATAAGTAAAGAAATAAAGCAGAAAGGCTGCAATATGCTTCAATACAATTTACTGTATTTTTGCAAATTATTGTATTTTGCTTTTTGCAGAGTAATTCCAAAATACACAAAACTAAATAATTCCAGTACTGTTAAACAAACAAAAAGTGTATACACACTATGAATATGCATAGCATATTGTCCAAATGAAACAGATATATAACAATGTTAGTCAACCCTGTCTGCTGCATTGGGCCACAAGTTTTCATCCACATCACACCGTATGGCCTGGGAAAGAATACACCTGGGAAAGAATATCTTTGCATGCCTGATCCATCCCTGGCAATCTTCTGCAGAGATATCCAGGCATCCTGCATTCATTGCATCCAAGACTGACATTTGATAATGTGGATGGTGGTCATAAATGTTCCACCTCCATTAGGAAAAACAATTATTCTATGGGGTTGAGGAAGGGAGAGTAAGGGGGGAGGAACAGTGACACCATGCCGGGATGGGCTACAAACCACTCTGTGACTGCATGGGAGTGGTGAAATGCCACATTGTCCCATACAATCACCCAGGTTTCCATATCTCTTCTGACTTGCCCTCTTTCTTCACCTGGCAAAAGCCTTCCATAGAGGTCATCCATGAATGAAATGAGGCGCTCTGTGTTGTAGGACCAATTACAGGGGCTTGCGAAAGTATTCACCCCCCTTTGCATTTTTCCTATTTTCCAACCTGGAATTAAAATGGATTTTTTGGGGGTTTGTATCATTTGATTTACACAACATGCCTACCACTTTGAAGATGCAAAATATGTTTTATTGTGAAACAAATAAAAAAGAAGACAAAAAAACAGAGAACTTGAGCGTGCATAACTATTTTGCACCACCTTTTGCAGCAATTACAGCTGCAAGTCTCTTGTGGTATGTCTCTATAAGCTTGGCACATCTAGTCACTGGGATTTTTGCCCATTCTTCAAGGCAAAACTGCTCCAGCTCCTTCAAGTTGAATGGGTTCCGCTGGTGTACAGCAATCTTTAAGTCATACCACAGATTCTCAATTGGATTGAGGTCTGGGCTTTGACTAGGCCATTCCAAGACATTTCAATGTTTCCCTTTAAACCACTCAAGTGTTGCTTTAGCAGTATGCTTAGGGTCATTGTCCTGCTGGAAGGTGAACCTCCGTCCCAGTCTCAAATCTGTGGAAGACTGAAACAGGTTTCCCTCAAGAATTTCCCTGTATTTAGCACCATCCATCATTCCTTCAATTCTGACCAGTTTCCCAGTCCCTGCCGATGAAAAACATCCCCACAGTGGCGCAGTGGTCTAAGGCACTGCATCGCAGTGCTAGCTGTGCCACTAGAGATCCTGGTTGGAGTCCAGGCTCTGTCGCAGCTGGCCGCAACCGGGAGACCCATGGGTGGCGCACAATTGGTCCAAGGTAGGGGAGGGTTTGGCCGGCAGGGATGTGGGTTCGTTTCCCACGGGAGGCCAGTAAGAAAAAAATATAAAAAATAAAATACGTATGCATTCACTAACTAACTGTAAGTTGCTTTGGATAAGAGCGTCTGCTAAATGACTAAAATGTAAATGTAATGATGCTGCCACCACCATGCTTCACTGTGGGGATGGTGTTCTCGGGTGATGAGAGGTGTTGGGTTTGCGCCAGACATAGTGTTTTCCTTGATGGCCAAAAAGCTCAATGTTAGTCTCATCTGACCAGAGTACCTTCTTCAATATGTTTGGGGAGTCTCCCACATGCCTTTTGGCGAACACCAAACGTGTTTGTTTATTTTTTTCTTTAAGCAATGGCTTTTTTCTGGCCACTCTTCCGTAAAGCCCAGCTCTGTGGAGTGTACAGCTTAAAGTGGTCCTATGGTCAGACACTCCAATCTCCGCTGTGGAGCTTTGCAGTTCCTTCAGGGTTATCTTTGGTCTCTTTGTTGCCTCTCTGATTAATGCCCTCCTTGCCTGGTCCGTGAGTTTTGGTGGGCGGCCCTCTCTTGGCAGGTTTGTTGTGGTGCCATATTCTTTCTATTTTTAAATAATGGATTTAATGGTGCTCCGTGGGATGTTCAAAGTTTCAGATTTTTTTCTATAACCCAACCCTGATCTGTACTTCTCCACAACTTTGTCCCTGACCTGTTTGGAGAGCTCCTTGGTCTTTATGGTGCTGCTTGCTTGGTGGTGCCCATTGCTTAGTGGTGTTGCAGACTCTGGGGCCTTTCAGAACAGGTGTATATATACTGAGATCATGTGACAGATCATGTGACACTTAGATTGCCCACAGGTGGACTTTATTTAACTAATTATGTGACTTCTGAAGGTAAGTGGTTGCACCAGATCTTATTTAGGGGCTTCATAGCAAAGGGGGTGAATACATATGCACGCACCACTTTTCTGTTACTTATTTTTTTGAATTTTTTGAAACAAGTTATTTTTTTCTTTTCACTTCACCAATTTGGACTATTTTATGTATTTCCATTACATGAAATCCAAATAAAAATCAATTTAAATTACAGGTTGTAATGCAACAAAATAGGAAAAACGCCAAGGGGGATGAATACTTTTGCAAGGCACTGTAGTGGTTTATGTAACAGCAATCCTTCAGAGGATATTGCGGCACACATTGTGATGTTGGCACCCCTCTGGCCCAGGAAATTCACTGTTTCTCTTTTCCCAATCACATTCCTTTCACGTCGGCGTGTTTTGGCCATGTTAAAACCAGCCTCATCCACAAAGACGAACATGTGGGGTGTTGGCCTGGCTTCAAGCTCTATGACACTCCACAGGGCAACATAACAGTTATTCTATAACAGTAGTTTACATTACAGTATACTGTAACTGAAATCACTGCTGAGTGTGCAGTGCTCTGGTGGGTTTTGTTTACAGTAAAAACAGTACTGTATTACAGGATATAGACATCTTACCTGGACATATTGGTACCGGAGTTCCTTGACACGATCAGAGATCCTGTCAAAGGGAACAGTGTACACCTGCTTCATGCTGATATGATGCTTTGTCAAGACTCTAGCAATGGTTGTCGTGCTTACACTTTCAACGTTTTGAAATGTATTATTGTCTGCCAACACTCTCTCTTGAATTTCTCTGAGTTTTATGGCATTGTTGCTAATGACCATGTCAACAATTACAGCTTCCTGCTGAGCAGAGAATATCCTACCTCTCCCCCCTGCAACAGAAATAAAATTACACACAAGTGGTTTGGAGAGCTTTTGCTCGATTTACTATTCTACAGTAATATTCAGTACAGTTAGATGCCCATGCAGAATGCATATCTTCCCTGTTAGTTTGCTGGAAGCTTCTTATAATAGATGACACAGTTGAGCATTGCAAATTTGGCTGCAATCTGAGACCAGCATCTCTCATTGATAGACCATGATTGACAACATGATCAATGATTGTAGCCCTAATCTCATCTGACACTACAACTATGGGTCTTCCCCTCAGTCGTCTTCCACCACGGATACGTAATCCTCTGCCTCTCCCGGCAACTCTTCCACCTCTGTAAGCCACTACACGATCTCTGGCTGGGTCCATGTTTATGTAAAATATATTCCAAAGATGTCCCCTTTTGTAGTGATGGTAATGACATAAAAATGGAAAACACCTGGGTAGGACTTCAGTTACGTAATGTATAATGAAAATCAGATGTGAATAATTGAGTTATTATTTTTATTTTAGAATTTATATTTTGCTTTTACTGTAGCAATGTAAAAAATTCCAGTCTAATTCAATTTTCAGGAGCTTTTGAACTTGAGTTTAACAGTTTTGATAAGGGTATCTTAACATTTGCAAAATGGTCTGTAGATACATAGAGTTTTGTTGGTAAATGTGTTTTTGTGAGACAAGTATTTATGTCATTTCAAAGATGTTGTCATTGAATGCATTTTGTGTCAAAGCAATGACAAATGATCCACAGGTAGCCACATAGAGTGTTGTCGTGATAACTGTATTTAGAGTTTTCCACATGTATCCGCAGTATTGAACAATGCTTGTCAGCAATCGAAAAAAAACTGTAAAGCTTGTTACAGACTAAGTAGCCCAACCGGCCGCCAGATGGCACTATTGTTGCTTTTAAGTCGTTTGTAAAAGGAATAATAGTGCCATCTGGCGGCCGGTTGGGCTACAGACTAACCATTATGAGAGAGACCAAAGTCAAACAGCTCTGCCTTGAGGATGCAATTGGCACACAGGGTGCACTTGCCGAGGTTCATTTACTGAACTGAAATAAGAAGAATTTGGAAATAATAGGCTAATATACAAACTCATAACGGCTTATATACCTCCGACCTGTTAATTACAACAATACTTCCGTTGTACATACACTCACTTAGAGCAGAACTGATATAAGGCGTCTGCATATAGTTCGTTTGAAAACAGAAACTTAAATACAAGATGGATAACAGCAGAACGTATAAATACCTATAGTTTCAGTATATCAAGGGTATAATACAAAGTAAAGCTTGGAAGCATGTTATTAGTAAAGGAGGTAACGCTGCATTGCCAACAGATGGCAGCCTAAACCAAAGGATGGTCTACAATACATGTATTTTTGGTGCATTGCCATGCATTGAAAGATTGACAGCAAATCAGCTTTACTTTGTATTATACCCTTGATATACTGAAACTATAGGTATTTATACGTTCTGCTGTTATCCATCTTGTATTTAAGTTTCTGTTTTCAAACGAACTATATGCAGACGCCTTATATCAGTTCTGCTCTAAGTGAGTGTATGTACAACGGAAGTATTGTTGTAATTTACAGGTCGGAGGTATATAAGCCGTTATGAGTTTGTATATTAGCCTATTATTTCCAAATTCTTCTTATTTCAGTTCAGTAAATGAACCTCGGCAAGTGCACCCTGTGTGCCAATTGCATCCTCAAGGCAGAGCTGTTTGACTTTGGTCTCTCTCATAATGGTTGCATCCATCCCTCCCTCTAAATTCCCCTGCAGAGACACTGAAATGGTTCAACCCAGTATATATCGGCTCTAGCCCATCCAATTCTCAGCAGACCAAACCTCAGTCAGACAAACACCGATTACAGAATGGGAGAGCGCAATTGTGGTTATGGAGAAGTCTTGAGAGGATGAACAAATAAAGTACAGGATAACTTGAACGTTTGTTGTATTGGAGTCGCTAATAAATGATAAAGGTCAGTAAAAATATTTAGTTGCAGTAAAACGTTCGCTATAGTGTACGTTATATTGCTGTGGACGTGACACGACCATATAATGCTGCCTTGGAAGAAGAATAAGTTCGACTTGATTGAGGAAGATAAACAGTCGAAGCAGAAGGGTTATGCCGTGAGTTTGAACTACTCTGCCCTGACCTCCTTTGCCAAGTCTTGCCCGGAGAGTGCTTTGAACAGGGTTGGAAGCATGTTCAAGACAAAAAGGAAAAAGGTTAAAATTACCAGTGAGGACCCCACCTACACGGTCCTCTACCTGGGGAATGCCACCACCATCCAGTCGAAAGGAGAAGGCTGTACGGACGTGGCTGTGAGCAAGATTTGGGGCAAGAGCGAAATGGGCAGAAACGGCACGAAGATGAAACTGACTATCAGCTCGCAGGGCATCCGAATGGTGCATGTGGACGACAAGGCGAGGAGACCGGGACATTTGTATTTATTGCACCGGATAACCTATTGCGTTGCGGATCCAAGGCTACCCAAAATTTTCGCTTGGATATACAGACATGAGATGAAGCACAAGGCGGTGATGCTGCGGTGTCATGCCGTTCTGGTGTCCAAGCCGGAGAAGGCAAAGGCCATGGCACTGCTTTTGTACCAGACCTCGGCGACAGCGCTTTCTGAATTTAAAAGACTTAAAAGGAGGGACGATGCAAGGCACCAGCAACAGCAGCTGATAGGGGAACAAACCATACCCCTTGTGCCCCTCAGGAAGCTTCTAAATGGACAGTGTTATTACAAACCCCCGGTGGAGCGCAGCAGGAGCGCGCCCAAATTGGGCTCTATCACAGAGGATTTGATCGGGGAGGAGGAAGAAGAGAAAGCGATGCACTTTGAGTGTGAGGACATTTTAGACACGGATGACGATTGTGTGGGCAATGGTAAACAGGAGCTGGCCCAGATCATCAGTGACCTTGGAGAGATGAGCATAGGAAACGACGTGCAAACACTAAAAGCGGACCTTAGGGTTACACGACTCCTCTCTGGGGAGAGCACGGGCAGCGAGTCGTCAATAGAAAGCAACCAGGAGCCAATTTCTGTCTCAAACGGATTCGAGGAGGGGAAGATGCAGGAAATATCATGAAGTCTACGTTTTCCTGGAGCCAAAATTCCATCCACTAGGATATGAACAATTTCCTTTTTTGTTTATTTTATGCTATCGGCTGTGAGTGTAGCCTATGCCTGTAGTATTGTGCCGCCTCGCCGACTTGAAAGGATATAAGAGGGGTAGCCTATGTTACAGTTATTGAATTATATTCTGTCTAACATTGATAGACTACCGAAAAGGGGGAGGACTGCATGCAAGACTGAACCCCTAAAACAGTGCGTACCAGGAGAGTGATGCACCACTGATTCCCACTTTAATAAGATGCTTTGTATTAGAAGTTGTTTACCCAACCAATTTCCCTCGTGGAAATGCAATTTTTCTTGAACAACATTGTCCAGAAATATGTAGCCTAACATTCCATTTTGAAAGCACGTTTCGCTTTTTGTCTCAATGGGTTAAATGAGAAGGCCCTCACTCGCCTTTCAGGACGCTTTTCTACAATTATGTTTTTGCACTGTTGTGAAATTCAGTCGAGTATTACGTTTATTATGTGTATAATATCGTTTTGTCGTATATGTTATCAGAAACATAAATGTCATATCTTTGCTGTGCAAAAGAACAATACCCGAATGTATTAAGATGTACATATTAAATGCATTGTGTATACAAATATCCGTAATTTTTTAAAGGAGAAAATGTGGTTTGTTTATGTGAACCTAAAAAAATTACCAATAAAAACAACAAAATAACATGCAGGCGTTTGTATAGTTTATGCACTCATTTGGTAAATTTTTTGTTAAAATCAGGTATCATCTCAATCAAGTGCACCCTGTGATTTGATGGCTCTTAAACTTTCCCCCTCCAAATTAAGTTCAGATACTGATCATCACTGGGTTTAGAATTGCGATGAATTAAGGGAAACATTAATATCAGCATTCACACTTAAACATTTGAAGGCCTGCTTTTTGTTGTTGTTGCGTAGGTCCATAACTGATTGATAACTGATTCCTTTACCGACATGACACCCCTCATCCTTAGGAATCATGTAATTTTGGGGACATTTTTTGGGTAGAGGTTGGCATGCATAGGAGAGACATGTAGGGCCTAGATCTCATGGACAAGTTTCTTCTGGGGAAGGAAAAATACTATTTTGTTCTAGTGATTTCTAGTTATTTAGTCAACTGTCAGTTCTCTCACAGACATTCTGCATTGCTCAGTTTATTTTGGTCACTGTTGCAAGAGGGTGTTACATGTAATAGATTTATTAGGCTACTTGTCGAGTCAACACATGTAGTGCAAATCACACTGCAAACCACACCTCTCCAACACCTCTATTTTCTCTCCTGCTCTGTTTTTGAAAGGTGGGCGTACAGTATTGCAGTCACCATGGGAATGATGGAATTACTAGAAATGCTTCATGATTGTTATGGTTGCAGGCATAGAACCTTAGGGGCAGGCCCAGCTAAGCCACAACAACAAGGTGCTCAAGTCATGGAGGATAGAGCATTGTGTTACATCAAACAAATCAGAGTATTTTAGTAGTAGTTACTAAACTAAATGTTATTCATCTATTATTACAACATAGTTACTGCATAATTTGGTACAGATTTAAGTACCTTAAGTACATCTGAAGTAGCTATGTGTATCGGTACATCACTGAGCCATGTCTGTATGTTAGTCCAAATGTAATCTTGACAGCTTTGATATTTGAAATCTTGCCTACAGCCTGGGTTGTCTTGTCTGAACAGAATAAGGTCTTAGGCTCATGCGCACATGTGACATACAGTATCATACAGGATGCTATGTGCATTCACAGACTGGCACCACACTCAATTTTAGCTGCTTTTCTATAAGTGAATGGACTGGCACGGCTACTTCCCTCCCATGCACTACAAAGCCCGCTTAGCACCAGGCCCACATGGATGACACCAAATGTATACAGTTCCTGTCTGTCACACTGAGTGGTATTAATAACTCAGTTGTGCCACAGCAGTGTTCTGTCGCGGGCCGGGACTGGTGCTGTCACACTAAGCATGGCATTTTTCATATTATATTTCATGAGAAGGGAGCTGAGGGGAGTCACCACTCTCTGTGGCTGTCTGTCTGGGGGGACTACTGTATTGATGTGGACATTAGTATTCTAGTCAGGGATAGTGCAGTGCAGCTCCAGCCCAACATTAGACTCAGTCTGTCTGCCAGTGCTTTACCCCATAGACCTCTACTGCACGCAGAGATGCTGCTTCAGAGGCAGCCACTTCTACCTCTGCTTCTGCTACTGCTGCTCAGTAGCTAATAGGAACTGAATTAGAGATTAGGGGAGAAAGGTGAGCTTGTTCCCTGGTAAGTACCCAGGTGATGTGTGGATCTGTCTTGTTATATGAACAGTGCCTCAATCAACCTAGGCTGTCTCCAGACTTTTCTAACACTTCATGTATAGCCTGGATGGCAAGTCAGTGATTTGGGCCTATGATTGCCCATGGGTTCTATAAAAAGCAAGACTTCTCCTTATTTTGAATTGATGCAGTGGTGCTCAATAGGACACGGTAACACAAAACTCCACTACTAGGCTGAGTCACTCACTTCACTTTCCCTCTGTCTTTCAGGGAGCGTGTGGAAACTGTACCGAAATAGCAAGCGTATCAAAACCCACACAGTTTCCCTTCTCGATGTGGTGCTGCCCTCACTGAAGCCTCCCATATACTAATTACACCACAAACAGTACGACATCATCAGCCCGTGCCCACCACGAAAATAAAGCAGCAGGATGTGCTATTAGTGGACAACTGCAAACTAGAGCTATAAACCTCTTATAAAGACAGTGAAACGGTCCATTTAAAGCTCCCCTTGCAATCAATAGACAGTTTGGCCCTAGTGCAGCAGTGACCTGTATATTTTCACTCCGTGCCAGCAAGCTCCATTTGGATGCTGTTACAGGGCCGCCAAACATCACACGTTGTTCCTGTCTCGTTTCTCAGTGTAACCTGGATATCCTCTCAATGTATATTGACTGCGTGTGATTAAAAGTTGGATACGACATGTTGACATTTAGTGCATGTAAACATATGGTAATTCAAATCTCGTGGGGAGTGAGCTGACGTTATTGTCTCTCTCTCTGTGTTGATAAATCAAATAAAACAGGCTTTCAATGTTCAAACTTCACCTACAATTTCCCCTTAAAGGTCCTGCACAGTCATCCTATTTCCTAAATAAAAATAGCCAATGAATGACCAAAACATCCCCCATAATATTTTTGAGTGGGTGGGGAGCTTATATTCATGAGTTCGCCTTGACTGACAGCTCTTTGAAACAGCTCTTGTGGTTGTTGCCAGGTAACAAGGTAAACAATGGGCCACATGTCATTGATGACCAGTAAACAATGGGCCACATGTCATTCCGAGCCTAAATTGTATGCCTCAACCCATTTTCTCTGCAAAATGCTCTAATGGTCAACAGAGCTGATCATGGACTGTTGGATATCAGACAAACAGCAGCAATACACAATTGCATTTCTATTGTTTTGTAACTAATTACAGAATACAGTTCACTGATACACTTCTTCACAATAATTAGTCAAGCCTGAGTCACCTTAGAAGCTTAGACATAAGGGAATGTACATGAAAACAGCATACAGTAAGTGTACTTGACAATTTATTGGTGCCTCTGCATTAGCATTATAAATGACAAAATGTTCAGAATTGTGTGTATTGATCATACATTTATTTGATCATTTACAATAGGCCAGCATAGCTGAAATATTAATCAACATGAACACTAACAAGAAATAAAGGTGAGAAATAATATTGAGACATCATTTGACATAAAAAAACATTCGAGCCAAAAGCCTAATATAGGCACCAGGCTGCCCTACAGTGTGGACCCCATTGATTTGTCCAATTTGTAACACTCATCTCCCGTCCGAATGCTTGACATATCACATAAAAGTGAATTACTTAGGCTTTAGGAAATGCAACCAACTACAGAGATTGTCGGGGATGGGAGCGGGGGAGGAGGGGGACCCATGTACCCCGCTTCAATCAAGCAGGCTTCAGTCACCCACGTGGCTTCAGTCACCCCCAAGATTGAAGAGGGAGACAAATCCAGCTATGGCCTCCTCCTTGTCAGACCTCTCACACTGGGCAGACTGGGATCCTGGGATGGACAGCTTGCACAGCTTCCCCACATACGGCGCTGGATCAAGGGTGACCTCGTTGAAGAGGAGACCAGGAGCCTGTCTACGTTGCCTGTAATGTTTTTGAAAAGGGAAATGTTTGTTAAATGGGTAGTGAATTTAATTTCCTTTTATTTACTGTTCTGAGTTATGATTCTATCAATTGATCTACTCATTCTATAATTTGTTTTCTGGTATTTTTGAAATATTCCATTTTAAATGTGCAATATTTGGTTGTGCACTTTTTTGTGTAACTTTTCAATGTTTGTATTTGGAATTTTGGTGTGCCTGAAATGCTCAATTGATTTGTAATGAATAACTATCACTTACAGTATGTTGGGTCTGTCTTCAAAGGCTTCACAGCATATCCCCCTTCTTTGATCTGTCTTCACAGGCTTCACAGCATATCCCCGTTCTTTGCCTTGGGAAAGCTGATTTTGTATCACAGCATTCCTGCTGCGGTGGTTGCCTAGGAAGCTGTGCAGACAGAGTAGATGTTGAATTTTCAAAAATGTCTGTCATTACAACTTGATAGGAAAGACAAAAGGAGATGGAAAGTAAAATAATTATAATACTTTTCGGTGCAGCCTGTCCACCCGAAATGAAAAGCACCCACTGCTGTCGGATGTCTTCATTCTTCGGAATACATTTTAATTAACACTATGGCATCCAGTCACAACACAGTGTGCTTTTTCCGGGCATGCTGGTAACTTGCTTGCTAGCTAAAAGTTACAACATAGATGAAAAGGGGTTAGTTACCAGTATCGTTCTGCATGAGCTATCTTACGGTTTGAGCGCATGTGATGACGGTTTTAAGGCATTACATATTTAAATTGGTTAAGATTATAAGACGCTACCATTGGTGTAG